GCTCCCCGCGCCGTGCAGCGGCACAGCAGCCAGGCGGCCTGCCGTGCGCCCGGCCCTGCAGCCCTAGCCTCCTTGGAGACACTGTTTGCCTTCCCAGCCTCCGCTTCCTGGCTGCTTGGGGCAAAGCAATGTTCCCGCACCGCCGACTGCAGACACGACCTGCACCTCTCAGCTACCGTGACCTCTCTCCTAGGGTAGCGCAGTATGTTCCTGCAGCAGCTCCACGGACTTCCTAAGAGTCCGAGTTTCACGCTTCAGCTCGGGAGGGGTAAGGATGCACAGAATTTCCTCTTGTTGCTATCCCTGGCAGTCTGCAGAGCGGACCGATCTATTTGTTTTCCCTCTCTGGCCCTTTGCTTGTCTTCCAGGTGCACCTCAGGAAGCCACCCAGGCATTCAGCTACTGCTGGTCCAGAAGCTCGCTTTGAAACTGGCACAAGAGAAAGGACATGCCAAAGCCACTGGACCAGGTGCAGCCTAAATTTGCCAGAGCAAGATCTGCAGAGGAAACGATTCCAACATAGTGATGGCTGGGGTGAGGGGGTGGGGGAAGGGTTGTAATTCTTCGTCCTGGATGTCCTAGTAAACCAGAAACTTGTGACACAGTAAATTGCTTGCTCAGAAAGGGTTTGAAACATTCCTTGCAATTAATAGTATGGGACAAAGTCTTAAACAGGAAACAAAACTACAGTGTTCAATGAACCCTTTTTTTGTACTGCCTATCACACATATGAACCTGTTTCATGAGCAAAAAGCAGGGCCCGTAGATTCAGATAGCCTTGTTGCATTCTAGTATCCTATCAGGAGAATCGAGTCTGTACCTACAGCAGGGAAAAATGTAAATTTACAGACTACAGAATATACCTTTCACTTTTCAATAGCAGTAGAAAAAAATCAAGCATAAATTCTTTTTATACATGGTCAATATTTTCTAAAATTGTACGTGTTGGTTTCAGCACTTAAGCGGTTCCTGAAAGGGGTATTTCACTGGTCGATTTGGAGCTGTAGCACAATCAAAATACCAGTAATAACTCTGAACAAGGTCATGCTACAGAAGAGAACCCTCAAGCCTGTGACAGAAACAAGCTTTGGATGCTTCAGAGTCTACAGTAAAATCTCCCAACTGCATCTGACTGTCTGAATTCTGCTTGTTCCACTCAAGCAATCCCATTCATAGAAAAGGGACAAATCCAGCCCTTGACATTTTGCCTACTGGGACACGCTCTCTTCTGGAACACCAGCTGGAGGTTCGGTTTTACTCTGAAGGCCTTATCTAACTCTGAAGTCAGCAGAAACAGGAGGGGGCCGTGCACGTTTAATATAAAAGATCAGTGCTGTGCAATACAGCAGAAGTATATAACTGTTTGTCACTTAATAACAATACCTACGCCTCTGTAGCCTTAAAACACTCTCACATTTTATAATCATTTTGAAATTAAGGCCTAGGCACACATTAAAAAACATTCAAAGTAAATCAGAAAGTTCAGGATCAGATTCCATTCCTAATTACTGTAATTAACGAACAAGTCCCCACAACTTAAGGACTGGTTTGCTCAGTCTTTTTTACACAGACCCCTTTTATCTAAGTTAAGAACTTTTAAATAATCTCTTTCTGCACGAAAACATAAATTCCTGTTCAAATTGTTTTAATACGGTCTAAAATGAGACTCCCAGACTCCGACAAATAAGAGCATTCTTATTCTTTCTTTGTCCCTCCCTCAACGGCAACTAAAACGTTTACAAGCTGATAATCTCTCAGACAAATGCCTATTTCCACATTCACATTAACAGAGATGGATACCAAATATTTCAGATCTAACATCAAGAAAAAATTTCTGTCTTGTTGCTTCACTTCAATGTGTCCGGGAGTTAATTCAGCTAAAAGAGGAAGGATGTCTGTTGCATATTATGGATCCCTGAAGCAGCACTGCTGTCAACTCTTGAGGGTGCTATTCTTCCATCTCAAAGTAGAGGTTGCCTCTAGTAGCTATAAGCTAGAGAAGGATTAGAAAAGCTGCTCCAAACTTCTGAACAGCACTAAAAGTCATTTATACCAAGTTAGTTGTACTGGTTGCTGTTAGTAGGGAAGGAAACTGAAAAGAAAGTCATAATCATGAAGGAATGCAAATATATTTGCTTTATACAAGTGAATTTCGTGACTGCTGGGGTTTTTAATGGCATCTGAGCATTGAATTCTCATTCACTTCTCCTAGACTCAGCTCCTGTCCTGTTCTCAGGCCTTCGACTCCTGTGGGCTGCAAAAGGGGTTCCCTCGTGTGTACAGCTACAACATCCAGGCTGGCTTTAGACGCCGAGCGGGCGTTACAGGACTCTGCTTTTGGTCCAAGGCCCTGGAAGTATAGTTCGGACATGGCATGCAGCACCTCAGTTAGGAAGCAGAGTGCCATTATACAATTACTTTACTGCCTTGTTAAATTAGAATATTTCATTGCTTTTGACAAAGCTCCAGAATGCCCTGTCTGCAGGCAAAGCTCTCCTAGCTGTGAATGCCAGCACAGTCCAGCGCCTCCTCTCTCCCACCTGTGGAGGGGGTGAGAGGAAAGGAGACAGAGTTGGCCAGGGGCAGGGATGGGCACTGTGGAGCAGGAAGAGGAGTACTGCTGCCCTGGGAAGGAGGGGGGGGGGGGCAATATCCTCAGCTGGGGACAGCGCGGTGCCCTAAGCGTACCATGGGAGCAGGCAGGCATGGAGCAGTAGTCTTCTGGGTGAATAAAGAGCTAGCAGCCCACCATCTTACTTCTTGTGTTGTAATAAAACACCCACTTCTCCCCTCTCCTGTGCCCCAGGGAGGGGAAACATGATACTGCACATGTAAAAGCTGCCACACCATGACAATTTTCAAATGAAAAGGCTTTATGTGCCAAAGCCAATCCCCTTGGAAGCCAGTAGATCAGGATGCAGCATGGTATGACAAGTAAAGAGGACCTTCCCTTCAGCTGGGAAAGGCAACTGGTGACTCATTAGCATTTCTGATGTGCAAAGTTTGTCCAATGACAGATGACTGAATTACTTATCATTACGGCTTTTCTCCTTTGGAGAAACAATGTTTACAGCTCCAGGGTGAAAAAACATAAATTATGCTATACTCCTCTTCCCTTTTCTTATCATTCCCCTTGTCTTCAGGGTCTCTGTGGCCATGTCCTCAACACGTGCTGTCCTTGTGCTCTACTCACTCCTGGCTCCTCTCCTGAGAGCTCAGTCACTTGCAATTACCACACTAGTTGACCGGGAGCATCTTTTCACTTCCTGACACTGCCTGACTACTGCTCACCCACCTCCTTTCACAGTAGGGATCATAACTCAACCTGTTTCCAGTTTGTCACCTGTAATCATGTACAATCAGGCTGTGAAACTGTAAGTGGTTTACCTGTCCCCAATTTTTTTACATGCTTAATGAGCCATTACATACACAGTTCCTCTTTTATGGTTAGGATCATATTTCAATGATTATATGCATGGTGACCAGATTATTCTGAATGCTTTTCAGATACCGCACTAAGTTCTGTCCCAAAGAAGTTACAGTTGAAATACCAGGAAAAAGTATGCAACAGTTTTGTTCCCCATCTCTCACTCTACTCTTTTCTTCTGCATTATTAGACTGTCACTTTTGCCTTAAGACTTCCTCCAACCATGTTTAGAGTTCTCCTACTAATATGTATCAATTATCCTCATGCTCAATATTTGCGCTATCCACAAATTGTCCATTCACTCTCTAGTCTTTTATCTCAGACTAGACAATAACCTGCCTTCTGTCCCACCTGAATTTATTTTTCAATCTTCTCTCTATCTTGCAAACTTCAGTGTTTTTTCTCATCATGAACAGCTCACACAGTCTTTAATTCATTCATGCTTACATCTTCCTGGGAGGTGGAGCAGTGTTGCTACTCTCTGTTTTATAGCTAGAGAGCTGGGAGACGGAATGACTTGTCAAGGCCACACAGGAAATAAGTGGCAAAGCTAGGAATTTTGGCTTTCACATGTCCTGAGCTAGTATCACAACCAGTGAGCATCCACAAATTCCATTGCTGCTTCCCTACATTTGAAACGCTTTATTTTTCACACATGTCCTTGCTATTTCTACATATTTTGACGGAAAAGTTAAATTAACTTTTATCTCGAAATAAATTTATTTCTGAAGTGAACTGCCAAGAAAATGTCATTCTTTTCCTTTTGATTTTGCCATTGTATGGCTTAAGGGAACATATAGGAAATATAGCTTATTTTCACAGACCCTACCCCTACACCACTGAATTGAGCATGAAGACTCTCTGATCTGAGCAGAAACTGGTGCAGTTTCTAGCAGACAAATTACGTAACAGAACACTAACATGGCAGTTAACAACACACTCCCAAGTCAGTTCCCAACTCTCCTTTTAGGGGAAGAGTGTTCCCAAATACTTGCTGAAGACTGCAGCTATTAATATACGGCTGGCTACTTCTCATCATATCATCCACAATATAATCCAAAAAAGGAGGTTTAACCTGCTGGTAAATCCAGAAAACAAAAAACATAGCTCCCTACTTGTATTTCCACACAGTTAACTCTGAATTCAGGCCTTTAACTGAGATGCTACATGAGCTGTATAGGGAACTCTGGCTCACAACTGTAAATGCCCAGAACTGCACCTAGGACTAAACACCGATGTAACACAGGTGTCTGTAGACTCACCATGCATAAAGACTGCTGGGCTCTACATCTGGGTTAGCATCATTATTTAAGGAAATCCTGCTAGTTAGCAAAATAGCATCCCGTCGCTTGTATGAATAATTCACTCTGAGGTCAAAGGTGTGTTATGATGATCAGCTCCTCCTAAAAATACTCATTTGCAGTATTAACTGAAGTAGCTAAGGCTCAACACATATATTGGTAACCGTCCTAGAGCATATCTCCATGAACATTGCACTATGACACTGAATCACATAGGAAAAAATACACAACTGTCTATTACATATGTGTTTTGATTTAGCATTAATACTTCAGAAATATGTATGCAGTCATCCTGGAGCAGTACTCATACATTTGCTTTTAAGGCAACAGGTAGTCTACCGGAGTAACCACAACTTTGTCAACATGCAAGGAGATCAAAAAAAGTCAATCCCCAATCTTCTGGTTTTCACAAGGTACGTTTACAAAGACGAGCTAATACATTTTGGGAAGGCCACTAAAGTAATGTAGAACCTTAGCACTGACTTAGACATAACTTTCTATGGATCTCAAAGGATTTTAAAAAGAAAATGGTACAGCGTGGCTTAGGCTTCATCAACCTTTCTAAGCAGTCCTTGTTTGCACTGTGGACATGATCCTGGGGGGGTATCTGCAAAACAACAACAAAAAAAATTATATTAGGGGAACATCAAAAATGTGTTAGGCACAAAAACGTGGATAGCAGGAGACCCTTTGCTACACAAGCAAATTACAATCAAAAGAACATGATATGAGAAGTAAGAGCTATAGGACAGGAAAGGAAGAGGAAGATCAGCTTAGAAAAATAAGGTCACGCTATTTCTTAACTACGTATTTTAACTTGTGACACATCCTGTCACAAAACAGTCCCTGCCATGGATGTAGTGTTCCTCTCTAAACCAACTTTACTCCCCTTTAGACGAGACTATAACAGGGATCTAAACTAATCTGAAGAGTAAAAATGTGGTAAAAAGTTACATTCTGTAGCGTAGTACAGATGTGAAAGCGTCAAGCTGGCACTCCAGAGAAGCACATTTCTGACACTGTTGGGAGGAACTTTAGGTGGATAAGAACTGCACAAGGCCCATCAGAGAACTCAGGGATTTGATGGGCTTTTTGCATTACCATTTCTCTTGCGTTCAAGTTATTGTGTGCTTCCCAAGTCACATAATGAGACAGCCTCACTATCCTGTAGGTCGTTTTTTAGTTCTCAGCCTGCAAACATTCCATGCTCAAGCTATCTGTGGAACAAAGTGCTAGGAGGCGGAAAGACAAAGATAATAACCTTTGGTGCAACCTGTCAACTTAGTGTCACAAAAAGTTCAATTTCAATGGCAGAAAGGTTTGGGGCTCCATTTGGCTCATATTTTAAAAAGTCAGGTTTTGTAAAGTACTGAACCTATACAAATAGAGAGCAGCTTCATTGCTCACCGTGGTTGCTGTCTTGTATCTGAAAGTTTGACCTTGCTGCTGAGCTAAATTCAGCTTTCTCTAATTATCCCACTGCCAGCCCAGGGATTACTGGCATGAGTAATCTAAGCAGGAGTTGGCCTACTAAATGTAACAAAAAACGTCAAAGGCAGGGAGAGGGAAGGGAGTCACAAGAAAGCTTTGGAAAGTTCTTAGAGTTAGCAGGGAACGTCACAAACGACTTCTAACTGCTGATCAAAGAAACAGCCGGTACATGGGAAACAACAAAAACACAGAGGAAGGAAGCAAGTCAGAGGCAATCTTGGCTTGAAGACGATTGCAGTTTTCTTATCAGTTTCAAGCCAATAATAGTGATACTCCTGGGACCAGAATTTCTCCTGACTCTACTCAGAATAACCGCTGCACAAAGATGAGACTTCAGAAGCAGCTTACACTTACAGGCTGGAATACTGTGCTGAAATTCCCGTCAGCAGCATATGGACCCTGTGGCAGAGTGATTTCACTGCCAGACTGACAGGCTGATGGGACAGCATCGACTCTTGTGGAACCACTGGCGGGTGACGTGAGATAGGGCCCTTCACTCCCTGCAGGGACTCCAAAGGTCACTGGAAAACTTCCAGCAAAAGGATCTGGCACTCCCAGCTGCAGAGATAACACCTATTTTGCCTTTTAAGTCTTCCCAGAGGGGTTACACACAGTAACGTTCAGCATTGCAGTCCTGTTAATAAAAATAAGGAGAGATTACTCGCCACTGCATGAGTCCTGTAAGACCTTTGTACTTACATTTTTCTGTTCAAACTGGAATTTTGTGCTTTAGGTAAAACAAGTCTTTATCTTATTTTAAGTGCAATAAGAGTTAACCACAAACTAGGTGAGTCTGATGATCAGTAGATCTCCTGAATGGATTACCAGTTTCTTAAAAATTTAGACACTAAAGTAGGGAGGTAACAAAGATATCTCAAAGTCTTATAGTAAAACAGTACCGACTACCTCAAATTATGATGCTTGAAGCAAATCATTCACCTGGCTTAGTTTTTAAAGGCAGCTGACAGCTGAGCTACTGAATGCCTCAAATAAATACTGTCAGAATTCACACGAATAAAAATAGAGGACTTATTTTGACGGAAGCCATCATCTTTTTCATTTGTTTTATGGAAGCAAGCATAAAAATAATTTTTGTTCTGCAGGAATGTTTCAGAAAGCAAAAATCCACTGAGAGCGGTGCTAGTTTACTTGCAAGAAGTTTTCATGCTGAAATGTTCATGAAGCAATGCTGAAAAGGCACTGCTCTTCAACTAGGAAGTGGAAACAATGTCATGTGACTTACTTGAGCAACTGATTCATACACTTAATAGCTGGGCAAAGTATAATCAAAACTAATCATTCAGCAAGAGCCCAGGGCTGAGAGGTTTCTAATTCCAAACAAAAAGCCCTTGGTAAACTACTTGTGTTTCTAAGTGAAAAACACACCAGCTATGCAATCAGGTCCCTATACTGCAAAACCGTGTAATTTTTTTGTCCTACTCCTGTGATTACAGATAGGAACTGGGCATAAGTTTTTGGAGCCTAAATTATTTACTCTGAATAATTCTTCCAGCTCTAAACAATTAAACTAGATGTTAATTTTACACAAATTAGACATAATATATTAATATCACCATAAATCCTACATTCCTTACCAAACCCAACAGTCTATTGAGTTAATGGGGAATGTGAGCAGTACAAATATTTATGACATACTCGTAGTAAATAGGAGGACATAAAGTGAAGTCTACTATGACAAAGTAAAATTGGATTTTAGTAAAAAGTTCTATGTTCTTTAAAAGCACACACACGTTCCAGATTTTTAATAATAAGAGTTGCACCATGCTAAAAAGAATTCATGAAACATATTTCACTTAGGTGCTAGAGTACTGAATTTTAATATATGATTTTAAAAGGAAGATGATGATTCAAAAATTTGTATGTCACAGAACCCTCAACATGGAGGGCATGAATCTTTTAAATATAGTATAGGAAAGGATCCATATTGCTTATCCGTAATCTTGCACTCAGCAGCCAAAGAGAAGGACAAAAAACGCAACTCAGCACAGAACCCTCTTGCTCCCCAGTGAGAGAAACAAATCCTGACAGTTACCATAGCCAACAGAGCTGGTATTTAGGCTGGATAAGAAAGTACAGTTGATAGCAGGTCAGTATTTTCCATAAAAAGGAGCTATTCCGAATCAGCATGAATATTCCGCTGCATTTCAGGAAGGCTTAGTAGATGGAAGTATTTATATAACTAAGCGTAGGGCTTATGGATCATTCATTTTTAACTTAAGTCATCAAGAGATCATTTGCATCTTAGGTTGTGTCTAGACCTCTCACTACATGGGAATGATTTTTATCCTTTATGAATAAATATGAAATAAACACTGGTTACCCAGCATAGCATGTCACTGATAACAGCCTGAGGCCCCTGCTCCCTTCTTTTGTACGGAAGGGCAAAACCCTGTGGGTCTCCTAACTATGGTTGTCTCTTGTACCTATCTGTGTAAGCTCAGCTGCTAATTCCATTGGATATGCAAACATTTGGGTCTGTATTTTATGGAAGACAATCAAGCCCCATATATTTGTGTCTCTGTTATGCTAAGATGAGCATTACAGTATTTTGCAGGATGAAACTAGATGATGACACTGTCCTTAAGAAAAATCAATCGATTATACAGTTAGATCCATCTTCAAAAATTGTTGCAGCGCACCCTTGATTCTAGCTTGAAAGTAAACAAACAAAAAAATCTGTGCATTCAGAAAGAGCATACCGACTTTTACATTTCTGCCAGGACTCCAGAAATATGACTCTGAAGAATCTAGGATTATAATAATACGCACGCATGTCTATTTTCATTCTTTCCTATGGAAATGAAGTTTTTGTGATCATGGTGTCCGTGTACGCATCTCTCCAAATGTTTCTTTAACAACATTGCATCCATTGGCATTTGATCTGAAACAAATCCGAGAAACAGAGATCCTGGAAGTATTTAAAATCTTACACGTTTTGTGCAAACAGGTAACATAGATCCCATAAAGGCACCAACAGTGGGAAAAGCCACCCTGTGGATTTGCCTTATATTAGGCACTAGAGAATCCACCTGCAAAAAGACTAAACATGCAAACTGTGTGACATCCTTCAAGCAGAGCTCATGCCTTATCAATTGAAAACTAAGTCTTCAGGAAACCAGACTTTGCTCTGGTACCCCTTGGCCTATTTGTTTCAGTGGGCTCAGAGCTATTCAGTCAAATTCCCCTTGCAGGATTGGAAAACCAGTAAATCCTTGGGTCTCTACGTTTTGGCCAGGGCTACAAAATCCCATCTGGTGGTGGAGAAGCAGTATATGCAGCACCAATCAAACTCTAAGTCTACTGAAAAGCTTTCCAGAAGTCTGTTTAAAAGCACTCAGAAAGGAACTAAAAGCATGTAAGCACTTTACCGTAGTTCAGATATCAACACTGCTCTAGTGTCTGAGAGCTGTGAACTCCCATTAAAAGTATGGCCACAGTGAGTGTCCCTTACCTAACAAAATCCAGAGACATATGGACTATTTGAGAATATCTGCAGTATTCTCTACTGATGCCCTAAACTAGAGCTTAATAAGTGTCTCTGTGTTAGGAGAACGTTCAAACAAATAAAATATTTCGTTACGAATCTAATCGCGCTTAACGCATTGGCATTTGTGCCCAAGGCTTTCCAGTTGTTATGGCATCAGCGTAGCACAACGTCCCGCATTAGCTTGTTAACAGTAAATTAATCTCCCGTAGCTGCAGTTTGCTGAGACCAGCTGCCTGCGCGCATATCCCTATTGGGAGCGCACGTACACCCGGGTGCACTCATCCTTTCTTCATGTTTTTTTGTAAAAAAAAAGACCAGTACGTGCATTACACAGCTCAGTTTTGTCTTATCTGTGGAGTCCCTTAATGCCAAAGGGCTTTACAGAAGAAGAAAAAGAGGACAAGAGGTAAAGGTGCACATAAACAAACACACCTCAAAGAATTCCAGATCCTGGTAAGCAAAGTCCTCTTCTCCAGCTGCCAAACCACATTTCCACTAGGACTGTGGGTGACTTCAAAGCAATGCCCCTAATGCCTGGAGGAGAGCCTCAAAAATTCAGACAAATGATTGTACCTTTTACTCTATTGAATTTTTGAAGGTTTCTACAATAGTATATGCCTTGGTAAAGTCCTCCTGTGCTCAGCAGATACCAGGTATGCAGAGGAACAATCTTCAGGGAAGCCACTGTGCTTTAGTGGACCGACTTCGAGTCCCTGCCAGCTCGCTGCTAGTATTACTTTGAGTGCCAGCACAGGTGCACCACCGGGAGTCTGAGAGCTGGTCGGGGCTGTTTTAAAGTACTTTGTGTTTGCATCAACTTTTCCTCTGCACGTTACGTCTTTTTCGTGCCATATCTTGGCAGACAAGCCATTCCCCTAGCAGTCACTGACATCAATGTTACAGTAACATTGCTGATCCTGAATTCTTTCTTCAACCAAATAAATCATGCTCAATGCAGGAAAACCCACTTGATGGCTGGACAATTCAGAGGAAGGACAGCTTCCTATACTGAGTTTGTTTTTAAGTCAGGTGAGGTGCAGACCTATGACTTCAAAGGGTATTCTAGAGACTGAGAGAGCATAAAGCCTTTCCTGACTGTCCTGAGTAGATCTGCCTGATCGACTTGCTGCCAAGATGAGAGAAAATCAGATGAGCCCTTCTCCGCTGATACTGTTGTCACTGGGACATGTTACCAAAGTGGCTATTTCTACCAAAAAAATAGGTTGCAGGGTTTATATTCAATGGAAACCTAGTGCTGGCTTGTATCTGGTAATTTCACTATGACACAGATATTCAGGTGCCTGTAAGTGTAAGTGTAATCACTTTGTTCTTCTGGGAATCTATAGTATGTCAGAAGGTACACAGAGCAAAGAGCAGGGGGAGCTGTGCCCTGCCATCCTTTTAGAATTTGCTTCCCTTTCAGGATGTCAGGATGTAGAAAAAGAACCTTTTCCTACAGGCTCTAAAGGTCTTTCTGCCAGTTAACTCACCAAACTTGGAAAATCAACTTTCTGGGAAGAGGATGGCACTGTTGAGATAAGCACTTCCTTTCTTTTCTGCTGGAGAGAAGACAAACTGTACTCACTGACAGAAGCATTGCTGTCACTGATGTCTAGAGCAAAATTCTCTAGACATTAGCAGCAGCAGCTCAATGACAGACGTTCTGTAATTGCCAGTACACTTTCTCGAATTTTCCTCCTACACATTTTGTATCATACAGGTTTAAGTAACTCATTTGCTATTCATTTCCATGAACAGAAAACAAGCAGGGTGAACAAGCAGGGAGACTATCCCCCCACCAGCTCCCTGACAAGCTCTCTGTTTTCTTTCTTCTTTTCAAATGGCTGTTTATTGAGCTTTTACGGTATCCCAAAGGTCATATAGGTTGCAAGGAATAATAAAGCCATTGGTAAGAAAGAAGTTTGGGTCCTTATTCTCCCAACACCATTGGAGTGCAGGAGAAACAGAGCTATGGCTCTCCAATTTCACGGCTTTTTTGTAAGGGTATTTATTTTAGGCTTCTGTTCTGAAGAACCATTTTAAAATCAAGGTAAAATTCATCCCTAAAACTATTTACTCTCCTTGGTATCATATGAATAAGGCAAAATTCCTCATTAGAGTATTCCCCGTGACAAATAATGCCCTAGTAATTATGGGTGGGGATTTTCATGCGGTGACTGATGATGCCTTGGAAAAAAGCCATGGCACTGTGCATTCAGAAGCTAAGCTATCTAAATCCTTGCAGGCCTCATTTATGCTTTTGGGAATATAGGACAGGTGTGGCAGTTACTAAACCTGGATACTTGAGAATTCACCTCTTATTCCCAGGTGTGGGCCATTAATTCTCGCTCAGACTTGTTCAGTTCTAACAAGTCTCTTTTGAACCAGATTTTATATATACACATAAACGCACACAATAAATGCATTCAAAGGAAAATGCTGTGTATCTATTGTTTTTTAATCATTTTTAGCTATGCAGCTTCATCTTGCCAAACAGTTTACATACAGATGGCAGTAAAAAAACAATACTGATCAGCGGCTGTCTAAAAATCCCCATGACATTCTTCAGCTATCAGAAAAGACTCGCACATTACATTAAGCTTAGTACAACTGCTGAAGAAGCTCAGCTAAAGCACAAGCCAGGCCCCAGTGAAACTCACAACAAAGGTTACACCAATTCTAACTGGAGCACTAGGTATCAAAGCAAAATCAGAGAACATCTACACACAACCATAACTTGATAAGAACTGTAAAATCCTTGTTAGAACATGGCACTCCTTTTTTTGTTAGATGCTCTTCCAGAAATCTGAACACTTCAGGGCAACGTGACGTACCTACAGCTTTCTCCCAGATCAACTGTTCTTCAGCGACACGCTCAATTTGTTCAAACTCACATACCTACAGCAAGGCTCATAATTCCATATGCAGACATCTGAATACGAGGTCGAAGATAGTAAGCCTCACCAGCTTCACTGACTTTGAAAGGACTTGGGGCTACTGAACACTAATGAGTATCTGGGTACCTGGCAGTTTTTATTTAGTTAATGTATGACGGTTATCTACTAGGCAGCTCTCTGAAAGACTTAAAAGAGAGGGAATGACATATTTGAAATTTTTAAAAGTACATATTTTTGTGACAATATTTTTACGTACAGAGAATTGTCACAAAAAGACAAAGGATACTTGGGGTGGCCTTCTACCTCCAAATCCCTCAAGAGGCCACTGCTGTGGTGATATGCTTCTCAGATGAAAGTACCAGTTTGCAAAACACAAGTATGCATTGGTATCAGGGAATATGCAGAGGTGTGGCTTCATAAATGACTGGTGTGAAGCACAAATTCCTGACAGCACAAGGGCTAAGCATAGGCTGGGTAAGGGTTTCACCCAAAAATAAATTTATCTTCAACAAAAATTTTGTGAACAGAGACCTCTCACGTTCAATGGTTAAAAAAAAAACAAAAAACAAAAAACCAAGCCTACCAACCAAAATAACATATGAAAACATAAACCTAAAAAAATGGGCATAAATGGCTCCTTCACCTACGCAGCTAGCTGATGCTAAAAGAGCTAGAGAAGACGTGGGGGCAAAGCAAACAGCTGTTGGCTTGCTGGTCCCTCTCCTTCTGGGAAACATTCCCTTTATTCTGCACAAGTAACTGAGTTAGTCTCTTTCATAAAGCAGTACGATTTACTCTAGACATTCTGGTAACTTTGATATTTTGATAACTGCAAATAGAGTTGGAAGATGCAGTAGGAGAATCAGAAACTGTAAATACTTTGTTGCAAAAATTATTAGCTACATAGAGAGAAAGAACAAAGGCACTGGCTTTTTCCTGTAAACGAACGCCAGGCAGCGTTACAATAAAATGGATGTTTGCTATTAGAATAGAATGGTTCCTTTCTTTACTTAGTATTTTCTAGAACAAAAGCACTGCAACTTTCCAAGGCTATAGTGAGTCAGTGCTAGAACTAGAAACGCAGTCCTGAAATAGCGACCACCACTAAGCAATGCTTCCTCTCCTTTCTCTTCACCTATTCATAAAGGCTGTTACTGACAAATAATCTATTAATAGACAAGTTTCTACTATTTAAACCATTTGGTTTCTACCAAATCTGACTGAGAAACTACTCAGAAATTCTGTGCTTTTCAAGTGTAAGCTTTTTCAAACAAATGAAAAAACAGAGGTATTGATAAGAGCTTTTTTCCCTTTCTTTCTTTCTGAATCTCATTTTTTGAAATGCAGATTTCTGACAGAGCCAGATTCCTGATTGATACATTAAACTCAGCAGCCCTTTTGCTTTCTGGAGCTTTTATAACCTCAGCTATACCAAATCTAGATTTCTAACATTATTTTGATCTTGGTGTAGGTCAGTCCTGAATACAAGCAATAATTATTGTAATACCAAGGTGCAAAAACTATCACAAGACGACAGTTTTACAATCTTAAGATTAGGGAGAACCTTTATTACAGACTATTTCTGGGATACCCCTGAAAGAATGCCATCCACTCGGTGAACACCAGGAATGTGATCACATTCAAGAAATTCTATCTAGCTTTGAACAAATCTACGTTGAGAGAGCAGGGGTAACAGTTACTAAGAAAACCTTTTTAAACAAGACTCGCAATAGCAAATGTGAGCTAACTTTTCTTTTTGTTCTCTTTCTTCCATGTCAGAACAGACAGAAGCACACTGCTGCTTTCTTATTATTTGTTCAATATTCTGTTACGACACAGCTCTATTTGGATGATTAAAATTGAAACACTAAATGGTGGGAGGGGGGAATTACAGATCTGTGTCCCTTCAGCTTCTAGAAGACTTCTACAGAAAGACAGAAGGTTTTGGCATCTTCTAGTATATTTGCCTTCAAATACATTAGTATACCTTACATCACAGCTGGGCACTGTGTCTTTTTACCCAAGGGGCCTATATATTTCTGTTTGTAAAATATTAAAAAGTATTCACTGTTATATTAAAAACATTTAATTGCCAGTGTTCCAAATCACAGGAAAACAAATGATTGAATTCTCTTCTAGAAGAATTCAAAATGCACAGAGGTTAGACCAGAAGAAAAACTATACAGTAACATCATGTGTGAAAGGTAAACCATCAACAGAAATGTGCAAGTCTGAAGTAAAAGGTCCAGTGAAGACTAACCAGGAGAGAAATGGAGGCAAAGAACTGAAGGCTTACAGGAAAAAAAAAAAAATCTTTTGAAGTGTAGGTTGTAGTCCAGTATGTTTGTATGTTTTTTTATTTTAGGATAAAGAATTAACAGTTCAGGAAGAACAAGCAGAAACACTGGAATCAGACACAAAATAAAAGTGATTCAAGAGAGACAAAATAGCTTTCACAGACTGTAAGTGGAAGGTTGCAGAGAACTTCTTAAATGTATCTGTAAGGGTTAAGGGAACATACTGAGCTTTGCAGTGCAATATCACTGCAGTATAACGTGTATAACCTCTGGTTACCTGTAATACTCCCCAAACCAATTTATCAGTAGTGTGACTCATACATAGTGGGTAATAAACAGGGACAGTCACCCCAAGAGACTCCTCTTCCCTTTACACTTTCTGCTTCTGATTCCCACAGACACTGTCTTCTTCCAATTGCTTTTCTGCCTCTAACTGTGATTTTCTGTAGGTTATTTGAGAATGCTGAATGTCTTTTTTTTTTTTTTAAGGAACAGAACCTTTTAAAGAGTGATTAGATTGGATTATACAGGTGAGAATAAGATACTATTACAGATAATAAGATACTATTAAGTACAGTCTCGTGGGTAGTGTTGCTATGGGAACCCATCTAGAACCAGAGTGAAAAGGGTTCCACCCCAGCAGGGACTGGTCGGCTTATGATGCTGAAACCCAGAGCTACTGCACGGCTGAAGTAACTTGTGAACAAGCAGGTAAGGTGTATGCTTCCATATCATGTCTGAAGAGTAGATGTCCATGTATTTTTGTGATTACTTTTTAGACTTTTCCCATCATATTCTATTGTTACTGCAACACTGTGAGAAGAAATGAATTCATCTTACAAACTCTTAAGCACACTGTGTGATGGTTTTCATGTGACAGGATACAATGCCAACCAAGTGCTGGAGCTACTTATGTGTGTGCTTTAAGGTTTAAAGTTTCAGACTCTATGAGAATGAGTAGGTCTACATTGTATTTTCCTCAGTTTTCTTTGAGGAAGATTAATGAATGGTCATAAAGTGCTCTACAATCCCAGGAAAGCGCTCTAAGAGCACACACTTACTTAACTGTTATAAACAGAGGATAATGTTTAATGCTTACCTGGAATCTTTGCTCTAGTTATAGGTGGATGAGTCACCATCAGAGAAAACGTAGCAGTTTCAACTGACAAATAAAAAAAAATTAGAGATGTTAAAACACATACTTGATGACTGACACGGAAACAGTATCTTCATAGTAACGAGCTGAGTAAAACTGCCCAGACAAACTGCCCCAAATTCTTCTGCAAAGGAGGTTTATTTTCCTCAAGGCTTTACGAAAACAACAACATAAAACCCACACAACATCAGACGGCCACAAAAATGGCAAATAACAAATTATTACATCTGCTTTACTGAACGCTGCAACTATGCTTACAAATCTGATTCTTCCCGCTCTTCTTTTGCGGACGTAGCACATGCTTCACAGACAGGTCTACGTTGCACCGGCGTGGCGCACACATTGAAACTTTTCCTCTCCGCACTTAAACAAAAGCTCTTTTCCCACACTGTTCTTCTGGATGCCCACACACCTGAGCCTGCTCAAACCTCGACTACCTTGCATGTTGACAGCTTTCCTACTGCAAACGCATACACCTGTGCGCCGCTGTACACCTTTTCCATGCAAAGCGCTAAACCACGCTTCAGGCACGTACAACTGCGGAGACGTGGGCGCCTGTCGTCACAGCGCACACGCTAAGGCAGTTCCAACACGGTTGGAAAAGTTTTAAGGCCCAAAAATTCCTTCTCTAGAAATAAACAAAAATATTTTAGAAGAAGCAAAGATACGCCAGCATAAGCCGTGCGCAATCTCTCCACGACACCGCACTCCCCCTTCCTGTTTCTAGCCCCCTTCCCTGGGTGGGAAGTTTTTGAGCAGCAACTCATAACCCACGGCATTTTAGGAGTTTATCGTCACTCCTGTTGCCAAGAGCCACTCTAGCCTCGCGTGGCGGCCGCTTCGGGAGGAGCCCAGGGG